AATTGAAAATTTTATTTAAATTACCCAGTTTTATAAAATTGACTAAAATAATCTGTTGTCAAAATAAATTTAAAAAAATACTAGAGTCCTTGTAATTCAAAATGAGTACTTTTTTTATTTTGTTTGGGATGATATTGACGAAGATAAAAATTCCAGGAAGTTTTGATCGCGTGTTCCATTTCTTGAAAAATTTTGCCATCTCTAATAAAAAGCTGAAGAAATTGGAATCGATTCTACCGAAAAAACTCTGAATTTTCTACTCTACAGTAATACTGGCGATCTATATTTCTATCGTAAAATCTCATAATTTTTATCAATGGTATACTGTATAATATTTTTAAAGTACCCTTCTCTATAGAGAATTTAAACATTAACTTAGTCCAATTTTTTAGTATCAAAAATTCTTATTACTAAAAGAATGTCTTTGAGATTAAATTAAGAACTTACCTAGCGTCACCCCGAAAAATTGGTAGCCGGATATATTTTCCGGGAAACACAATTCTGATTTGGAGATTAGGGTTAGGGTTTGGCTAGAGTTAGAGCTAAGATTATACGTAAAACTGTATTCTCGACATTTTCAATTAGTGCTTCAAGCTATGTTTTTGCTGGCAGATCAAAAATTTACGCCACCTAATTGTTGATTTAAAATTTCTGATATCATAGTTAGATTTTAATTTTAATAATAATAATGAAATTTTTAGCATTTAAAATATCATGTGATTTATTTTTGATTGGCTGAATTTTATTATGTAAAATTATATGCTCATTTTTCATATAAAATTCTAATTAGTATTGTATATAATTCTTCAAAAAATTCAGCAGTGATACAATATTTGATATCTTTAAGTTACTTATATTATATCAATTAATATGTAAATTATGAGTTTACTCTGATATCCTGAAATTCAAAATTCTAACAGTTCATAGTTCTGTTATTCAAGATTCTGAATGGTACAAAATTCTGACAGTACAAAATTCTGACAGTACAAAATCCTGAATGGATCAAGATTCTAATAGTACAAGATCCTGAATGATTCAAGATCCTGAATAATTTAAAATTCTGAATGATTCACAATGGACAATTATATAATATATCATATTTTTATCTTATGATTAGTATATTATATCAAGAAAATTCCAGGTTTTCAATTTCAAAACTCAGAATTTGGAGCTAAGAATATTGTGAAATATATAGTATCCCAAAAAGTATTATCTGACTTTTTTTTAAAAATGAAATTTTTGATTTATTTATATTTGCTTTATATATATAAATTTTTTATTCTTAACTAATATATTATTTACTTTCTATATGATTTCAATATTACCTCAATTTTATATAGTATTAAGCTTATATTTTACCCTAAACTAAAATATTAAATTTTAATTATACTTTTTTCAGAACATGTTCACAATTTTTGAAAAGTATTATATTTTATAATATTATTTTGCAATAATTTTTAGATATTTTTTATAAAACCAGATCTAAAGAAATATATTAATTAATTTATAATCATTAATATTCTTATTTCATAATTTTTTTAGAATTAGAATGAGAATTAGAGTTAGAGTTAAGCTGAAATATCATATTTTTTCATATTATAAAAAAGGATAAGATTATTTTAAAAAATCTTCAGATAAATTTTTTTGTTGACAATATCACAAAATAATTCAAATTGTTTTTTTTAACTGCTTGTAAATATGCATTTTTTTCTTGCTTATTAAAAGCTTGTAATCTTTCAGATTCTGATAAATTTTTTTTCTATTTCTTTTGTATTTAGCAAAAAATTATAATTCTATCATTAAGTCATAAATTATTTTTTTTGCAACTTGTATGATACTTAAAACTTTAATAAAAATTATTTATTTTATCCTTGTCAAAATTGATCAACTAAAAGTAATATATATTATATTTACAACCAACAAATTTTATCTAGTATATATTCAAAAGTTAAGAAAAAAATAAAAAAATTTGTAATTAAGTTTTATTATGATTTCTGTTTTTATTTGTTTATATAATGAACTAATATAAATATTCAATGAATAATTACAGATGAATTCAAAAATAAAACAAAAAAAAAGCTTATATTATTCATTTTATATGAAAAATAATTACTAAAAATCAGAGCATACATTAGAACAGGTTCAAGTTTTTTTTTGACTTATGTATTTTGTAATATAATATAAAATAACTTATCATTCATAATATAACTTCTTCAAGTAATTCTGATATTTGAAGTGTTACACTCAGAATACATTAGTATTTTTTGTTTTGATCAATCAACAAATTACAACATCATGATAACAAATGCATTGGTTATAACAAAAATGAACCTAGATTCTGGAGAAATACAATTAAAAATATATAATAATTGATATATTAATAAATATAAAGAGAAAAAGTTACAATCAATAATATTTTCAAATGACTATCAGATAAACAAACTAAGAAAAAACCAAAGAATATAAGAAAAATACTTAAAGAGCATAATTTTTGATCAATAAAGAGAGTTCATTAAATATATAAATAATATTCTAAGAAAAAAGATAATGATCTAGAAAGATTTGATTGCTGTACTCAAAAAATAATATTATTATAACCTGATTTTCATGAGCAAAGATTAATATTAAAGAAAGTAATTATTAAAGTAGGATATATATTTGAGCAATACTTCAAATATCATTGTAAATATAACTTTATAGTGAGATATTGAAACTTTGTAAAATAAAAAACTAAGAAATCATGTACTTATAATTATGCTGACTTATTAAAAAAAATTCCTGAAGTTCTTACAAGTGTTCCTATAATGACTATTCATAAATTTGTTTGCAAGTTGTGAAAATATATTAATACCTATAATAAGAAATTAAAAGACAAAATTGCTAAATAAGCAATCAAAAAGTATAAGTTACATATCACTTATCTGAGCACATTGAAAAATTAATGAAACAAGAATAAAATTTTTTTGAAAATTCATGTAATGTAATCCAGAATATAAATGTTTGATTGATTATCATATTATAATATTATTGGTCAATTAATAAAATTGAAACAAATCACGTGATTGTCGAGTATAAATGTCCCTCACCATATGTAATACAAGTAATACATAATAGTGCTGATCCAGAATTGCGAACCACTAACAAGTCACGTTTCATTTTATATCCGGCGATATTCAAACTCTGGCAAGATTCGATCGCCTATTCAAAGAAAAACGTCGACTAGAGAAACGAACCGAGTCATCAATGTGTTCAAAATTTCAGAAGAAATAAGAGAGCTGGGCCAGTGTCTTGGAGATGCGACTATCCGGAAATTTCACAAACGTTTAACCCGTAATCCCGCGGATGAAACCATAGAATTTATTAGGCTATGGGTTGATAATGAGCGAGAATTAGATACAGAGGTAGAAGAGGAGGAAAATAGTGATAGCGCTGGACCTAGCGGGACGAGAGAATAGGGGGTAGTCATCGCCTTCGGGCAAAGCTTTGGAGCTGACTTCCACTGGTGCACCAGTTTTCCCTCCCATGCAGTCGTGCTAGGTCCAAGCTTTTTATCTTGTATTTACATATGACCAAAAATTCCAAAATAGCAATATGCTGTCATAATAGAGCAATACGATCAAACTATTTTTTAGTGAACTAGCACTGAAACAGCGTCATCAATATAGAAGGTAACGCCGATCATTATATACGTCATAGAAATGTCATCAGTGACCAATCAAAATCAAGTTTGGCAACCATACTACAGTTGTACAAGTACCCTATATAACCATGTCCATCAAACTTTTCTGCCTTGAAAAAGGACAGACTGCTGAACACGCATTCCCGGTTAATATTGGTAGGGATGAGACTGTTGGCGACCTCAAGGACGTCATCAAGGCGAAAAAGCCGGTTGCCTTTGCCCATGTCGACGCCGACAATCTTAGGCTGTGGAAGGTAAACATCTCTGCCGATCAAGATGAGTTGCTTCAGCAACACCCCACGCGAAATAGCATCGAGTTATTATCAATAAAAAAGGTCAGCTACTATTTTTCCGACGACAATGAGCCTCTCGATGAGTACATCCACGTGATCGTTGAAGTCCCTACTGGTAATTGATTATCCTAGCTTTTCTTAAATTCCCTCACTGTCGTTGTATTGGTATACTGTTTTCGACGTTGACTAACTTGTGCTTTTTCCCGTTATACAAATATCAAATCTTCTGGTCTCACTCTCGAAGCTTCATTGAAGCGAAGCCGTGATGAACTAATGGCTGACCAAACTGACCAAATCTGTAATCAGCTCTTGCAACCATTCGAAACAATACCAAGCAAAGCGAGAGAACTTTCTACTCTTATCAAAGCAGACCTTCTTTGCAAGTTGCCTGTGGCTGGGGGCGAGGAGGTTAAGTTTCCTATTCTTAAGGATTTCATCTATACTAGCGAAGAGGTTCGTCGAAGTACGATAGCAATGCACATCAACTATGTACTAAGCGACCCAATTGGAGATGCTGTCATAGGCACCGGATCGGAGGACATGATGCACTCATCTGTAGACGCGTTGATCAGGTATTTACTTCAGATTTTTGTGAAAGCGCTCGGAGGGAAACTACCAATTGAATTTGATCGGAACAGAGCGGATCCTAAATCGACAACAAAAGGTCGTGATCGCCCAGACTTCCTTTGTTGGACGAGAGAAGTGCTCCTATTTAAAGGCGAGGAGAATGGCGATGCAAAAGATTTCGATCTTGCTGTGGAAGAGCTTCAGAGCAAGTTTAATGTGCTTGACCCATATGTTTTGGCGAAATCCAATTCATGATTTGTTACGCCGCCGCGGGACCGAAGATTTGTTTCTACGCAATTGATGGCTCACCAGACGCTGGGAACCAGCTTGACCGTTTGATCCCGCTCACGGATTTGCTCAAGATAGATCATCGCAGGGATCGAGTTACCATCCTCCATACGATGATAAACATTACACGCATTATGTTGACTGTAAGTACTAAGATTCCTAATAATATCATTCCTCTCGGCAAACGGAGGAAGACTGGAGAAACGACTATTACTTTCTTTGATGACTTCGTCGAGAAGAAGATTCCACGAAATCATCTTCCATATGCTAATGATGATACTCGTATCCATTTCTTGGTGAGAATGTACAAGTGCGCCAAAGGCTATCCAGGCCTTGTTCAAATCAAGAACGAACCTACTCTTAAGAATCGAGGAAGTTATAAAGTCCTTATGACAACGTGGGGCTTGAATATCTTGCCGAAGAACGAGGGTGAGTTAAAGGCAATGAGCAAGAGTATCATTACTGGACTAGACAGGTTGCATCGAGGAAACTTCGTCCATCGTAATATGTTCTTATCGATTTCGAACACGGAGGTAATAATGGAGAAAATATGGTTGAATGGTTGGGATGATGAAACACTCACGAATACTGGGCAATATACGTTCTTATCTGACATGTACCAATTTGGAAAGCTGTTGATAATATGTTGATGTCGGTGGAGGGAAACGACTTTGTGACTAAATTGAAAGCGAAAAAGCTGAATGCTTCGAAGGCGCTTCAACGTGCATGGATTAAAGGCTTGTAAATTTCGGAACCCACCGATCTACAAATCGGATCATAGGGTTTTAGCATGTAAATTTGCATTTAATATTAACATCATCAGCCCACAACTTTTGTAGTATGATCAGCTTGAATGCTTTCCAAAACTCAATAAATCTAAATAGTAGAGCAGGCCTGTTAATGAAGCATCGTGTTGGGGACAGGTTCAAAAAATAATCACCGGTTATGTGTGTTCTGTAATCTATTACCCTACGTGAGAAAAATTGTCATGTACGCGTTATTTTTTCTGATCAAAAAGCTTTTCACGAAGATCCATCATTCTCTATATACATATCGTGTAAAAAAGAAATTTTAATGTTACATCCATGTACCCATCACGGAACGATCATATTGTCAGAATGGTTGTCGAGTAATTTCCCATTTAGGCTACACATAAAATGACGAGCAAAACGCGATTTTATACATAAATACCAATGCTTCGAACTGTTCTCTACACTCTAATGCAGGGCTCTGAAGATCTACCACATACGAACAAATCCTTTTGAATCTGAATTATACAACCCAATATGTATCTCTTCTATTCTCAACACATATATCATTCACAAATCCCACAAAACATACATTGTTCAAAGGTGTTTTAAGAATCCAGACCCTATGGGATGTTCTTCGGGCATCTCATTAAAATTGAAACATGATTTAACAATCAATATCGAACAAAATCTGATATGTCTATAATCATTAAATACACTATAACTTATTAAATCGTCAAATATGCCAGGTTTTACTATCCTTACTATTATTGATAAAAGAACTAAATCGCAGAAACTTATTAATAATAGACTGGGATATGATATGAAATATGTTAACTCGTATATTCTAAATTATTGTGGCATTAATAATTATTTAATGAACTCTGAGATTGAAAGACAATATGATACTTTATCTATTATTCGACCACATGAGATACTGAAACAATGGGTTATTCGAGTCAGAATTCCTTAACAAGAGCTGGTCTCTGAACTGTATATCACGTATATTGTTTATTTGATGTATTTGGAAATTCCAAGCTACATGTAGTTAATCATGATTACTACAGGTCTAGAATTTATAAGATCAATGTTATAATATGTCTAGATTGTATAAAGCTTATTCATGTTGATAATGTAAAACCAACAAAGATATTTCATCATGCTAGAAGTAGATATGTCAAAATTATCAAGCCAGAAAACTTGATACAGAAATATTGGAATTATGAGTATAATAAACCTGAATCTTGAAATGGATATGTGAGAATTATACAAATTGCTTATCAAATTATAAGCAAAAGCTTGAATCAGAATCAAAAAGAATTTGGAAAGCAATTAGAAATGACAATACTCCTAATGATAGGAAATTCTTAGATATAACTCTTTACATGTTGAAAAATCCTATGACTTAGTAACAATTTGATTCACATCTTGCTAAGAAAATTGCTAAGTATAACAAATATCTCAATATATATTCATTATCTGATAAAAATTATAAGAAATATTATTATTCTTATAATTGAATAAATTTTAAGAAAAATTAATTACAAGATAGATTATATAATCATGTTTTAAATTTATTAGAACTACAAAAATACAAAATAATTAATAGTAAATTTTGGTATATAATACTATAATGAATAGAGAATTCTGATTAATATCTTAATAATAACTATTGAAACTTTGTTAGAATATAACTGTTTTATATATATTTATTTTTTCACTCTGAATTTTTGTCTACAAACTTTTTGCATTGTCACAATTCGATATTTAGAACTTTTTTTTGAATATTATTATTAATTGTGACTTCAATCAATTATCTATTAATTTTATTTGTTTACTATTAAGATCCAGTTATATTAGAATTGATACACAGTGCAACTTTTTTTATTTTAATCAATAAAATAGGATCATTACTACTAATAAATATCTTTTTAGTATGTGAATGATTCTATAATAATACAATATTGATATTCTATAGCAATCTAATTGAATATCTAGTAGTGCAATAAATATAATAATATAATTATGTGTAATTATTTTTTTGTTTATAAGATTTAATAAAGATAATCAAATAATAAATATTTAATTAAGATATTTTATTTAAGTCATTAGTTGGACTAATTGTTACAACTTGCTCTTTTACAATTACAAAACCAGTTGTATTTATATCTAATATTTTTATGATTAAGTTATTACAATATAAGATATTGTTATCATTTCCATTAGTTTATTATTTTTTAAATATAGATTATGTATTCTTCACATATTTCAATTAGATATGAGAGTTATTAAAGATTTTTATATATTTTAAGTAATTAAAGTTGTGAGAAACTAATTTATTAAAAATAAGTAACAATATGTTCATTTTGTTGAATTGCTAAAATAAGTTCAGAAATCTTCTTTTAATTTAAATAATTTTCTTTTATTAATTATCTTTTAATAAAAATATTATCTTTTTTTATTATAGATTTAAATAATATTAATTAACTTTATAGAGTGGTGACGAGAGATTAATTATGTTATTATAGATGACATTACTTGTTACAGATAAGAGATCTTTTAAAAATAAAAGAATACAAATAAGAAAGAAAAAGAATAATTAATGCTTGACTAAAAATCTCTAACTCAAGATTTATAATATGACTCACTTCTAAGAAGATTTTATCAAAAGAAAATTAAAGTGAATAAGAAAATTATAATCTAAGAAAATTAATATTCAAAAAAATTATTTTTCTAAGTTAAGATACATGTTATATTTATGCAAGTTATTATGACTCAATCTTCAAATATTAAAGTTATTTTTGATTAATATTATTATTACAAAAAGCACTTACTTGATGATTATATATCACTCACTCTAATGTTATATAAATTTTATTATTAATATTAATCAAATCTGATTATATAGATCAATTAATATGTATTTTTCATATTAATAATAATAATATGAATTAAATATAATTAGTATAAATTATAATTAATGTAAAATGAGATAATATAAAAATAAAATAAAATAAAATGAAATAATATAAAAATAATATGAAATACAATAAGAATAGAATGAAATAAAAATAAAATAGTATAAAATATAATAAAAATAAAATGAAATAGTATGAGTAAAATACAAATAATATAAAATAAATATGAATACATCAGGAATTTAAAATACTAGCAGAATTGTGGTAAACTTTGAACCTGGCGACGAAAGGCGAAGAAAAAAGATTCAGTTTAAAAAATGCAAATATCTTCGTATGTAGTAGACCAAATTGAATGAATTTGGTACCATTAGAAGGTCTAGTCAAGGTGCATCCAATGGTATCAAAATCATTGAATTTG